AGTAGAAGGCAAAGGAAGAGGGGCCGACCAAGGGCAAGATGGATGGATGGCATCCTTGAAGTGACTGGACTGACCTTGAGGGAGCGGGGGGTGGTAACGGCCGACAGGGAGCTCTGGCGTGGGCTGGTCCATGAGGTCACGAAGAGTCGGAGACGACTGAACGAATGAACAACAACAACACCGCAATGAGTCGCCCTAGGGCTGAGAATTGCGGTCTATAGGCGCAGTAAATAAAATAAATAAATAAATAAATAAATTCTCCATAATTCACACTAATACATAATATGATTATCACATGGAAGCCCTGGATGTATATTGATATCAGAAGTCTCCAGTGGTGAAACAGATATTCCCACTGCGATGAGAAATGTATATTTTACATTACAGAACATTAACAGTACAGAAGGGCGCCTTGGTGGGGCAGTGGGTTAAACTGCTGAGCTGCTTAACTTGCTGACCAAAAGGTTGATGGTTCAGATCTAAGGAGCGGGGTGAGCTCCCGCTGTTAGGCCTTGTTTCTGCCAACCTAGCACCTCGAAAACATGCAAACGTGAGGTATCACTTCTGCAGGAAGGTAATGGCGCTCCATGCAGTCATGCTGGCCACATGACTTTGGAGGTGTCTATGGACAATGCTGGCTCTTCAGCTTAGAAATGAAGATGAGCACATCCCCCCCCCCCCCCGAATTGGACATAAAGGGGAAACCTTTACCTTTACCTTTTTTAACAGTACAGAACAGTCCTGTGTGTACTGTTAAAATATAGAGTTGTAGTAGAATTGTACTAGGACTTCATCATAATTATCTAAATCAGCATCCTGGAATGCGTCCACATTTCCTTCAAGACAGAACCCCATGCCGGACATTATATGACATCATGTGACTGCCGGCAGAGGCTTCCCCCTCAACTAGGGTAGAAGTGCCATTGGACACCTCCCCCAAACACGAGGGCCTCTCTGTAAGGGCAACACTTTTCCCATGTGAAGGGGAAAACATCACCAAGTGGGAACTGCACACAGGATGACAGATTTGTCCCGCTGCCCCTCTCTTTGTCGCAGAGACCAGGAGAAGCAAAATGCTTTGCCTAGCCTTTCTGATGATGTCCTTAGTTCTGCTCCATTTCCACTCATTGTTTAATCTAGATACTAGATTCATACAATCTGTACACAAATAAATTATGTGTGAATGAAGTGTATTCTACACTTTGAAGAATCCCTGTGTGGTCTGTATCTGAATAGATGCACAGATACACCTGTTGATCAACAGAACTTGATGAGGTGAAAGCATCTTATTGTGGCAGGAAGATAATATGCTTTCAGAATCAGATAGTAAAACAGACTATATTGTCTGTGATATCCCTTTGTATATTTCTGCCATGGTATGTGATGACAGTATGTGTAAGCTGTTTGCTCCAGGGTCTTTTTGATAGAATATTCTGTTTCCAAAATGTAATATCGGTCAAGAGAAATTTAAAACATTAATCAAATGAGTAGAGTAACCCAAGGAAGAATGAGTAATGCAGCTTGCTAAGAAGGTCTTGAATTTGTTCACCCTTGTGTGTTAAATAATAAAGTAGATTATGTCACATAGGTACTGGGTTATTCTTATCTTGTAGTAGCTGGATTAAGACATGAAGAGGTCATTCAAAGTACCTTATTTAACATAATGTAAAATGTGCTCTTCCATGAATTTACCTTTTGATTTTTTGCTGACAAAGAAACAATAAGTGCCTGGAATATATTGACTGATTAGGCAATGCAGCATGCATGCATCTTTCTAATATTTTAATATGAATACAGTCAAAGAATGAATTCATTTTACTTGCAACTGTGTAGGCCTTTTCTTACAGTTCCTTTTTCTGTGTGTGATTTGCATATTAAGTGAACACCCAGCCATTTCATTATTAAGTTTGTTTTGTTTCATTGTCTCCTTGATATCCAGCTCTAATTCTCATTAACTTCATGAATTGCCATGTCCTCTGTGTGAAATTGGACATTTCTCAATTTTTAAAGCTCCGCAACAAACGAAATTATATTCTCGTATGCATCATTTTAGCTGTGCCAGTGAAGTGTCCCTCAGGGTGTATTTTGGGGGTGGTGTTTTCCTACTGATCAATTCTCCTTTGTTGAATTGGCCAACAGCACATTTCCACTGGCATTCAGAGAGAGACCCTGAGTAAAGCCATTCATGTTTTCCATTTTACATTATTGCTTCCTTTTTAAAATATTTTTGTTTAAATGTTGGAAATGTGTAACTTTGTAAGAACAAAGAACAAAAACATTAAGTTGTTTTTTCTGTTCACCCTTTGGGATGGAGGTTACAAACTTGTGCAGTTGCACAATATCTGCCAAAACAAATTTGAAAAGGAAGAAAGTGATAGTGTGCAGGTCCACTTAAAGTTATTTGACTCACTACCCCATTTTATTAGGTTTCCTGGTGGTGCAGCGAGTTAAACTGCTGAGCTGCTGACCAAATGTTTGGCAGTTCAAATCTAGGGAGCGTGGTAAGTTGATTAAACCGCTGAGCTGCTGACCGAAAGTTCGGCAGTTCAGATCTGGGGAGCATGGTGAGCTCCCTCTGTTAGACCCAGCTTTTCCCAACCAAGCAGTTCAAAAACATGTAAATGTGAGTAGATCAATAGGTATTGCTCCAGCAGGAACATAACGGTGCTCCATGCAGTCATGTTGGCCACATGATTTTGGATGTGTCTATGGACAATGTTGGCTCTTCAGCTTAAAAATGGAGAAGAGCACCAACTATGAGTCGGACACAAGTAGACTTAATGTCAGGGGAAATCTTTACCCCATTTTATATATAAGATTTTAAAGGGAAGGCAGGCAAACTGGCATGCA